AATTTTACACTGTGCGTCCTAATGTATTTGTTGGTGTTTATCGCTTAGCTGCTGAACTGGTTTAGAAGGCGTGAAAAATCAGACATTTACGTTCACATTCGTTTATGTTTATGTCCTGTGCCCATAAGTGCTGCGTTTCAGCAAGCTGCTAACACGAACTCTCATTAAATTCCTCTTGATCGGTTTGGCTGCTCTTAATTGTCGTGTGCAGTCGCGGCGGTGAGTAACATCATGCTCTTATAAGAACCCTCCCCCCAGTTTGTCGACGGGGGGCATTTTGCACTTTTGCTACTTCCCATCGACGTGTCGGCCTATCTAGACAGCCTCTTCTCGAGTTGACAGGTTTTAACATGATGGCTTGACTACCTTGTTCCAGCTTCACAAGAGTTCACAGGTTTCGCCAGAGTGAGACATGTAAACCGGAACTGAGGAAGCAATGATAGTACAAAATGCCCCCCCCGTCGACAAACAGCGCCCCCTACCCCTAATTTCCAACAACTAAACCGATCTCACAAAAATTTCAGGCTCCATTCAGCTCAGGAGCAAGGGACGGGTGGGACCATTTCGCTTAGAACTGAGGCCTCACAGAGGCAACGAAACGATTTTGGGTGGACTTCGCTTCAATTGCCTCATGGGTACTTTTGAACTGAGCGCCTTGACCGACAAAATGGGACACATTGAGAACATCCATTGTAATATTTCGGCAAGTTCTTCACATTTTGATAGATGTTGAAAGACGAATTGGAGCTGTTCGGCTGGGAGGGGGTACTTCACAGTTTTTCCATGTTACTGTACAGGTCTCCCTTTGACAAAACTTGTAAACTGTGTAGCTGCGGATTGGTAGAAGTGAGCCAATTTTCATGAGCGTCCACGTTCGACCCTCCATGAATGTTGGCATCATGTGAGGTCTTCTCTAGGGTGCTGCTGTAGCCGTAACCAAGATGATGTGACAGTTTTAGGGGCACTTCGACGACGGGGGGGGGACATTCTGCTAATTCCCATCAACGTGTCCACCCATCTAGAGAGCCTTTCTTGAGTTGACAGGTTTTACCATGATGGCTCAGCAGTTTGTTCCAGCTTCACAAGAGTTCACAGGTTTTCACCAGAGTGAGCCTCGTAAAGTGGAACTAGTGAAGCAGCGAAATTGCAAAATTGCAAAATGTTACCCCCGCCCCCTGTCGCCGAACGGTGCCCGGTTTGATCCTTGAACGTTTCGGCGTTATCGTCTTTGTCAGAGCATGGAAAAGTCAAGGATCAGTGTGAACTACCCCTGAATATCACTTTAAACTCCAGTTCAGTCCGTCGTAGACCAGAGGGGCCTAGAAACGTGTCATAGACCACAACCACAAAATGACCCACTTTAAATGCACAGCAGGTTCTGGCTGAGACCACTGTTAAACTACTTCGCCTGGTTGGCTTCAGCTGACCTAGCCCCTTGACTTGTAGCCGATGGCAACTGAAGCCCACGAGCCTAAGTCCTCCACAATCTTGCTCGCAGAAGTCTGGGGTTCTCGCATCAGAATATTCACAGCCACCAAACTCCGCGCCTCCATGGCATGGCCACCCAGGGGGTCTCCTACCCAGACCGCCTAAGTGTTCCTTTACCTTGGAGCACATGGGCCGTCCAGTCTCACCAAGGTACTCATTGACAGAACTCGTGCATGCAGTCCCCTTCCCACCCAGAAGTACAGATAGCCCAATGTGGGGTTGGGCAGTAGCGATCATACCCGCGGTTGCGGATCAGCTGCTGCTTGAGGCTCGCAGGAGGGATCTCGACTACCGAACCATATTGTCGAGACCACATCTGCGCAAAGACCATCTCAAGCAGCGCTGATCTCATCAGTTACATAGGGTAGGAAACACGGTACGTTCACCCAACCCTCGGTCATAAGACCTTGTTAGTTCTAGTGGATGGCCCACTTAAGCACTTGCCTCTTGGTTGGTAGCCACTGGAATGTGCTATTTTTCGAGCTATCTCCAGGGACTCTTCTCTTTCCTGATCACCTGATTACACCATTTCAGCTGTCCTAACATGCTTCTTTTGATAACCTGTTTGTTCTTTGGAGGATGCGCCGACCTGGAACGGGCTAAGGAAATGTTGCTGTATCATCTCCGTTACGGCTACAGCAGCACTCTAGAGATGAGGCAATTTTGTCACAGTCGTTCACAGATCTTCACGTGGGGGTCCGTACAAGCTTCCCTGAGTGCTTTTCGGTGTCCCAGCCAACCGAACTGCGCCAAACTTCAATTGAGTGGTGTAGGGGGAAGGGGAGGGGGAAGGTGTGCGGGGGGGTGCGCTAGTTACCAATGTAAAGCAATTACCGAGCAAGATACATGTCTCCTAGCGATTCGGTCCCTACTCTCCCACTGAAGAATTCATGCCCAGCTGCATATACCTGCCCTTACGGAATGCAGTCTCTTTTTTTTGTTTCGTTGCTTTTATGCCTCTCATTATTTCATAGGAATTTCAATGCAGTCATGCCTTCAATTATTCACAACTACGACTACCGATAGTTATAATTATAGAATTCAAGGTTCTTCTTGATAAATAGATCCACACTTACCTGCATCTGCCCGTCTTCTGGTCCCTCATTCTAAGCTCGTTGTCTCACCAGCTCTCTATTCTATTTGCACTCGCTTACTGCTCAGAACCAACTGCAGAAATAGAGGCTCTATTTAGGCCATTTACTTCTCTAATTTCTTTGCGTTTAGCTCTACCCCCTACCAGATACGGCTTTTTTGTTTTTTGTGTATACATACCGTTGTGCATGTTTATCGAGTTTGTACGCTCGCTTGTATAGTCCTCATCATTAGGCTGCGTTTATACTTTGCGGCAGCGTAGCGTAGCGCTTCCAGCGTACGCCAGCGGCAGTGCCGAAGAGAGGATGCATATCGATCTAGCTTCACCAGCGTCACCAGCGGCACGCTGGCGTACGCTAGCGTGCAGCTAGGTCGCCAGCGTTTCTCCAGCGTTTCACCAGCGTTTTGCTAGCGCTTGCAGCGGCAGGGGAGTAGAGACTATGGGAGAGCTGGAGGGTACAAAACTCATCGATTGCGCGTCTCCACTCGCCTCCTCTAGTCTCTACAGAATGGCACATCGCTTCTGCCGTCGCCGACGGCCCACGATAAGTCTCTACGTGCCACATTGGCTCTCTGCCGTCTCCGACGCGACGATAGTCCTCTACAAATGCGACATTGCTTCTGCGTCCTCCGACGGCCGAACATGGTCTGCTACGATAGCAGCCGTGATTGCCGCTTCTCTCGACGGCGCACATAGTCTCTACTCCCCTGCCGCTGCAAACGCTAACAAAACGCTGGTGAAACGCTGGAGAAAAGCTGGCGAGCGCTAGCGTACGCCAGCGTGCCGCTGGCCCTGACGCCCCCTGGTGAAGCCTAGATCGATATGCAATCCTCTCTTCGGCACTCGGCCGGCTGGCGGTAGCGCTGGAAGCGCGTACGGCTTACGCTGCGCTACCGCCCTTACGCGTACGCTGCCGCCAAAGATCAAACGCGCCCGTTAGGGACTGCCGGGCGGCAGCAGCCAGTGCTGCAATGTGACGCCGCGACACCCCGCGGCGCTTCGGCTTCGGTGACGCCGAATCAAGTCTGCATGTTGTCCATGGAATTCGGCTGCGAATTCCCACTTTTTCAACTCTTCAGCTTCGAAAGTGGAAGGTGAGTTATTTTGAACAATTTTAAATTGTACTGACTCTGAATGAATCTGAAAGAATGTAAGCCATTTGAATAAATGCCTGAAATAAGGCAAAATACAAGGAAAAGAGCATAATAATCGACATAAAAATAAAGGAAATCAGAGCCAGTACAATTCAAAATTGTTCAGAATAACTCACCTTCCACTTTAGAAGCTTGAAGAGCTGAAAAAATGGAATTTGCAGCTGAATTCCATCGAAGCTGATTCACTGTCACCGAGTCACCTTGCAGCGCGGCTGTGCCGCCCCGACAGTCCGCAATGATGACGACTGTACTTTCTAACAATCTACTTTTTCCTCGTAGCAGTGAGATCATCTCCGTTTGCTTATGGCCGAATTTGGGTGCCTTTTATTTTTCGTGCATTTATTTTCATCCTCATCTGCCTGTCGTCTGGTCCCTTATTCTGAGCTCGTTGTCTCACCAGCTCTCTCTTCTATTTGAACTCGCTTACTGCTCGAAACCAGTGCAGAAATGGAGGCTCTATTTAGAGCCATTTTCTTCTCTAGGTTCTTTGCGTTTTCTCCTGATAAGTCACTGTGAGTGTGTAGACAACTACAATCTTGAAGGTTGAGAACCCTCTCGTCCCTAGTTATTGCAGGAAACTATCGTGAAAGCGACCAGCCTTTAAATAGCGCCCTTCCAATGTCCTTTTGTGCAAATGAGAAGTTTATTTCTAGTTGGGATCCGGAAGTCGCCTCACCTTTATGGCTCCATAAGATTTCACTTAATTGTGTCAGTAGGAGTCGGACTAGTAACAAGAAGTAATCCAGCATGCAGCAGAGGCTGCATTTTTCAACTTTTACTTCTTCTTTTCGGTTGTTTACCAGTCACTTGTTACCGCAATGAATGCTTTTACCATTTTGATGACTTCAAAGGCATGGCTTATCCTGAGATTGGACGGGTTGAATTGATTCATTCAGTCGATCTCCTGAGAGTAACTGTAGTTAGAATTCCAAGTTTGTTATTACTCGTAATCGTAAAGTTGGCGCAGTTACGCGACGGGCAGTGGGGATGGGGGCATTCAGAAGTTCCATTGCTTCCCATTGTCGTGTCGAGCCATCAGGTAAAAATATGTGAAGTTTTGTGAAGCCATGGAGTGACAGTGTCAAAGTTTGTGGAAACCACTCGTCAGCCTACAAATACTTTTCAAAACTTGACGACGCGAAGCAGCGGAAGTTCAAAATACCCCCGCCCCTCCTCGTCGGCACACTGCGCCGAAAAATTCTATAAGTATTTATAGCTCAGTTGGCACGCCACTTGTAACCCAGTCACCTTTTGGAGACGCAGGAATGGTTTCTAGTACATTCCACTTACTCGTGGGGATATCACTTATCTTATCGATAAGGTAAGTTCTCTGGAGATTTCTAAAGGATTTCACCTACTGTAGTTTCTGTTATAGGTGTGGCAATGAAATTTACCCGGATGATCAAGGTGAGCCTCGGATTATCGTTTGAAACGAAGAATTTGAGTTTTTCGAAATGAAAAATTGTATAGCAAATTTAAAACTAGTATTATTTCATCTTCGGACATATCCTCTCAATCTGAAATGTAGTAATAGAAGGACACATCATACGTTGAAAAATCCCCAGCGGGGGGAGGGGGGAGGGTCGTAATTGGAATACGGATGCAGAGAATTGGAGACTTGTTTCGACAGCTGATTTTTCCTGTTTCACGCGCAATACCTGCATCGTTGTGAATATTCCAATGGCTGAGGGGTGGGGGGTGTCGTATCAGAGGACGAAGTTTGGGGAAGAAATTCTTCGGGGAAGTTTGGGGAAGTTTCTCCTACCGCTGCAGAGACTTTCCAAAAAGTCTCTGCAGCGGTAGGAGAAACTGCCCAGTATGGGTCTAGGGTGTGCACCAGGACGACATCCTCGAAATGGGCAGGGCTTGGTGGCGGCTAGCCACCGCTGGGATACTGCCGCTCAAGAAAAGTGAAGTTATGTCTTTGTCCAGCCCAAGTCAGGATACAGACGTACCAAAGGGAACTTCCCAAGAGAAAACGCATCTTAAACCACGATCTGGTAATCCCAGAAAGCAGTTCGGGTGCGGGATAGGGCCAATTGAGTTTGTTAGCTCTGCGAGACTTCCCAGTGCCGGAGTCTTCTAGTTTTTCTCATAATTAAATTAAATATTTTCATGAATTCAAGCACAAAGTAGCATTCCGCGGGGATTGAGTGGGCGGTAAACCACGAGCAGATCTTGTCATTTTCCATTTCTCAACAATATCTTATTCGGGAAAGACGTAATAAGGAAGCTGCATTGTCCATGAATCTCTGCTTATTTCTCCGCCCATCCAGTTGTCACGGAATCGGTATACAAAAGTATTCCCTTATCAGTCTGTTTCCAGAATCCATGGAAACGAGCGTAGAAGAGCCGCGAAACCTCGATTCGAGCAACGATCTTCAACCACATTACACTGAGAGCTGGGAGGATCCAACTTCCACGCCTAGTGCAGCTCTCACGACTACAGAAGGGAGCGGACTGTTACCGATCGGGCATAAACAACCGCAGTTCAAACGGCTTCGTCCAATCGGTTTCTCTAACGAGGCCTTTATTGACATCAGCGACGATTTCACTGATATCTCCGATCATTCTGAGTCTGGCGATATCGACACGACAGATGCCACCACGGTCGTCGACTATCCTGAACCTCATACTCAGTTTGTCGATGAGTCAGACCCATTTCCAACCCCGAACACAATCCCTATTCCCACGAGCTCTCCCAAAATGTCACGCACCACCACTAGACCATTTATTCCTGAAAAACATACTACGATGACTTTGCAGCCATTTTCCGAAGCAGTAGCTGTCATTACGCCACTAACATCACCCAGAGAACCGTCTACTGGTTCACAGACTACTCCTCTAAATCAACCCCTTCCGATATCCTTGCCTTTTACGAAGGACACCTTCATTTCACGACCTCTTTCTAAAAAATCATCGACAACATCAAATCCAGCACACTCAGCTACTTTACACCATCCCTTCAAGGGCACATCGGTCACATACCGGCCGTTTCGCAGCAAAATCAATGATGGAGAAGTTCGGCATCATCAAAATGTCCTTCATAAAAGGCGATCAGGTCTCACATCGGGTAAAATTCTCAAGCCAAAAAAGAAGTACAGCACGAAGAGGGCTCTTCAACCTGTTTATAGAGCTCGTGGGAGACGACTAGTCTCTCATGATGTTCCGCTTCCAACCAAGAAGTTGACCACCACCTATAGAAGAGGCGAGTCGACACCAACGACAAGGAAACAGCGATACAGGAGCTATCGTACGGATCAAAAGGTAACAAAATCTTTTAAGTTGTTGTATATAGAGTTAAGTTTAAGGAATGGTGTCAAGTGATAAGCAGCGGAGAATCGGAAGCGAAGTAAGGTAGTGCCCTGAAATGGGAGCGTAATTCAAGAGTTATAAGAGAAAAATCAGTGCTTAAAGGTGTGGAGAACCTTGGACCAGTGTCGCGCCACAAGGTGGAAGGTAGGGGCATTGAAATACAAGGTCACTCAAGAAGCTACTCCCAAGCGCAGGTTGTCCGCCCCGCGTTGGTTAAGCCCTATCTCATTCTGCGATCAACTCATACGTAAAATACCGCCCTTTACGAGAGTTTGGTTTGTGATTTCTGAGACTGTCTCACTTTGCGCCACTTTCGAGGCTCCATAATGGGCAGCAAGGGTGCTGTTGCCGGCGGAAAAGCGCCGCGCCCACTCGTCAAGGTCGCCTTCCTTGCCGTCTCGCAGATTTTCCTGCTCAATCCGCCCTGTGTTTCTGGCATTCCCTACGCAGCAGCGGCTTCTTCGATACTCGTCCGGGCCTGGGGCATTAGATATAGCGTCTTCAGCAATCGGGATTTATCTACTCCTACACTGGCATGATCCAGCTTATCTCCAAAATTTATGCCTAGCTAAAGAATGGCAAACTTCTCTGCAAGTGTGTCTTTGATAACACCATAGAGAACAATCCGTTGTAGGCAATGTTCAGATTTAGCGATGACGCGCGTCTACGCGCTACAACTGCAACAACGCTCCAGTGCAATAGACACGAACAGGCCGGAATAGATCGTGCGCGTTTGTGTTTTATGAAGGAGTGTAGAGGGAAATGGAGGGTGATTCACGCAAGTATGGTATTGAATCGCATGCCGTATGTATTGGGAAAAACATAGGAGAATAAGAGGACAGAATGTGTGAGGACAGCGCCTACTCTGTTTTTATCCCATAGCTCAAAACACGAGCGGTGATGGCTGATCAATGCCCGTCTGCGGGTGCGTTCGCGTCTATAGCATGTGAGACTGCTGTTGTAGCGCATCGACGCGCGTTACAGCGCGAAGGCACTCGTCACCTCAAAGTCTGAACGCTGCTTTGCGACCATCTGACTTTGGCCCTCAGTCCGATCCTTCGCTGTTCCACTTCAAATTTGTGTTTGTCAAATACATAGTTCCACTTCAGTTTCAGGGTTTCACGATTAAAATTCGACGAAGCCTTCTGGGATGACCATCGTCTTCGAGGGACATATCATCAACGTTCTGCATTTTTTGTGGGTGTCGGCTGGGACTGAAGTCAACGCAGCGACGACTCGCGCAAGGTAGCTAGCACTGCTAGCCAGAATCTAGCCAGGACTTCACTGGACCATCCAAATGACACCCGATTTTTGATAGTGCCTTTTCGCTAGCCCGTTGCAAGATTTCTCTCACTGTTACTTGTTTTCTCTCGGCTCATCGTGTTACATGTATTACAAGGTATTTGGTCCTTACAAGGGAGGTCGTTCAGGGCGTGGTGCGCTTTTCGAAAACGGTTTTTTGCATATTGTAGGGGCTCATGCAAGGACCTGAAAAGTGTGCTTCATTTTCGCTGCGCGCTTCCAGGAAAGGTAAAAACGAGTGAAAAGAAATCTTTGGAATCTGCTTCGCTCTGGGCCTCTATACGGCGTAGGTCACTTGCAACTTTGACCAGTTGCTCTCGTGGGGGCGGTCCTTATAAAGGGGCTATTTGAATCGAAGCGAAAAATCGCCGCAAGTGAGCTTTCAACTTGGGTCATATGCTCAAGGGTGAACGGCTTCTTGCAATGGTTTCATCAACGATAAGAGCGCTAGCAGTAGTCGAGCATTCGGTATGGCCTAGTGGATAGAGTGAAGGTTTCTCAACTGGGCAGTGAAGGTGGGGTTGATGGTTCGGCTCCCCTTGCGTCGCGGCTTTTTGCATTTTCCAGATTTCGTTGTTCTCGCTTCCATTAGTGTGTCCGCAGCATGAATATAACTCGAATAATTTGACATTATATGGCACATCTGAGGTAGCCTGTACCTCATTTGAGTCATGCATTCAACTATATTCGATCTTTTACGACCACTGAACAAGATTGTTCTTGGAACATTGATCCTCATAGGCGAAGTGGTAGAGTGGAATTTGGAATTTACTTCTGATGTGGTGTCAATTATAGACAATTTGGGGCCACATCATCTTTCCATTGAATTCGTTATGTACACCAATATAGGGAACGTTCACCGCTATTCTGTCAATTGCGTGGACGCCAAGAATAGGTGTTATATTTGTGATAGTTAGGGACACTGATTTACACTAAAACGAATTTCGGTTCAATACATTGTTTGAACTTCTGCGGTTCTTGTATATTGGGCGTCGCAGGTCCGTAGCGCTCAGACAACACGTCATCCGCTGGTTCACGAAGATGTGAGACTGTCGCTTACCTTGCCGACTCAAATGGTCGATCACCTAGACCGAAAAGTCAAAAAATTTTTCGCTCAAAACTTGCTCCTGGGGGTAATGGACAGTCCTGATCACGATTCTGGACTCCGTTTTCGGTTCCAGTGCCATTTGGCACCGGCATAGCGCCGAAGAGCTGAGTCTGTGCATAACAACACGAATTAGACACGAAAATGCAAGTTTTTGTTCCATAAAAGTAGGATTGTTCAATTTATCGTGAATGTTTTTGTAGTGCCAATTATTTAGACAAATATGGGTCCAAAAAATGAAAAACTGTAGAAAAAAGCAAAATTTTGTCCTCGGTGGGATCCGAACCATCGACCTATTTTTTACGTTTTTTTTTTATTCGTAGAAGCGCGCAGCGAAAATGAACCTCAGTTTTCTGTCCTCGTATGTGCCCCTACAATATGCACAAGACCATTTTGAAAAAGCTCACCACGCCCTGAACGACCTCCCTTGTTAGAGGTCCTGATGTGAGGAAGCGCTTCCTCTGATTGGTGATGCTATGCAGTCCACCAATCACATCCAGACTCACATCAAAACGAAAATTGTGCCTTCATTGTGTTCAGAGGCCTTTAAAGGCTACCTTCTAGAGCCTTCCCATGATAATCTTTGATCTTGACCCTATATTTAAAGTATTTGCTCCCAATTACACTTCATATCCCGGAGACGGAGTGGGTGCGGCCACGTACATCATTTGATCATGACATAGGATGCTTTTTGGTGAGATCTTTCGTTTGAGACAACTATCATCTGGAGAGGAGACATGACGACACTTGTCTCAGAAGCGCAATATTCGACCAAAAGCGCTGCTGTTGCCACATACAAGTGAAATACGCAGCCACACCCACTCCATCTCCAAGATGTGAAGTGTACTTACTGACCACTATTATACCTAAATGCTTTTGCCGTTGTGTTCATTTGTGATTTTGTGATTTCCAAATGCAATAAAACTTTTTTATTTTTACAAAACAATTATTTTATTAGAATAAAATATTTTGGCCACGGAGGAATCACTGTGCTCTCTATGGAACCTCGTTGAAGGGAATCACATTTTGCTCTTCGATTTTCCGGTTCGTTGGCGAATAGTACTTTCGATCTGTCCCCAATCATCACTTGACATTTCATGAAGGTGTGACCCAAACGAACTGTTATGGTTCAGAAACTGTTGGCCGCCGTCGAAGTCGATAATCTGAAAGCCAAAAATCAATCTGGCCAGGCAGATAACGACATTTCATAAGGACCGGACACAATACACATGGTCCTGAACATCTCCTTATCTCGAACCTTCCCCTTTTGTCTCCTTTTCAATACCCCATAACTGGCTCTCTCATGAGAAAGCAAAACGTATCATATCCAGGTAGCAGCAAGAGCAGCATAGAAGTGTCGTCACACGCGCGCCATTTGCT